GGGGGGGCTCAAAATTGTACGAATTGATGGGCAAGTACCCTACAGAGCAGGGTCAGGGGGCATGCATCCACCTGACCCTCGAAAATGTATATAACAATTTTTGAGCGCGTACAGGCTCAACAAACACACATGAGTTATATTCGATTCTGGCCTCTTTAAAGGGCCTTTCTGTCTATTTAGATTGTGCATGTAAGAGGAGATGTTGGATATGATGTTGGTGATGATGTTGGGAATGATGTTGAAAGCTGTGTGTGTGCCATAGAATTCATAGAAATGTCAGAAATGATGTTGGAGTTGATGTTGAAACTTATGTCTGGCTCACAGGTGAACTGTTCAGATGATGTTGGAGGTCAGTAAAAGTTCTTATGAAAGGCCAACCTTCTTTTCTATGTGCGGACTCGGTGGGTGTTGAACGTGCTGTTCATACTAAGCTAAACATAATGTTGGATTTTCTGCCTGGTAGTTTTTTCAGGCTTTGGATGTTCTTGAAAGACTTCACACCGGTTTTCAGCCACCAAAGACATAAAGACATGGGCAGCTCGCCTGTGCTTGGAGTTGGGCACAGTAGGGTGGCCTGGCTCAAACCACAGGCATGTGCATGTGCCAACATGAGATTGAACATCAAAGGCTATCCAAGAGCTGCTCTTATGATAGGCTGACAAGCAGATGATTTTTGATAGGCAATTTGGCAATGTGAGTGTGTGGCATTTATTTTTAGAAGCTAAGTTCAGTCGGTTGGAAGCCAGAATCGTCGCCATGCATTTTGCTGGTGCTTTGAAGCGGGCTCACTCTTCCATCCAACTTGGCAGTGGATCGAGTGGCTCTTGATGTCAATCTAAGACATGCACTGAACAGCAAGGTCCAGAAGTTCGACAGGTGTGTGTGAGTGAGTGTGTGTGAGCTCAATGTTTTATCAAAAGATGGGCTGATGGCAAGGCGACTAAACTAATGTTGAGACAGGATTCAGGGTACCACACATCAATTCCAACTCACAGAAAAAGACTGCCAAGCAGAAGCCAGGAAGCGGCAATTTGCGAGGCAAACGAGACTTCTTCTACAGCAAGTTCATCATCCGAGCACTCCCCAAGCAGTGGCGGCTGGTTTAGCGGAAGCGATAGTGAATCCCAGTTGCAGATAGTGTCTGGGGGGTGGGTTTCTCCATGGTTTTGGAGTTGTTATCACTGGAAGCCCAAAATGAATCAACCTGCACGGCGTTGTTACCAACTATCAAATATCTATCATATTACCGCTACCCTCCCTGTAAGTCGCCCATAAGCCCACCACCATCAAATCACTGTTTGCCCATTCCCATTGTTGAAATTTAGCATTACTCTAGCTTCCAAGGATGAAGAAGTGCAGATAGAAGCCGCTGATTTCAGCCTTTTTCCTGCTGTGTGGGTTCCGGAGCAGCTCAGCAGCATTGGTAACATGGGTGGACATGATTTCAAATCATGCAGCTGAGCTGCATATAGCGAATGTCTAAGTCTAGTCTGGTCTTGCCGGTCTTGTGTTGTGTTTTTGATGGGTTGCATTTTGAACGATGCAGTCTGAGTCTGAGTCTGACATATTGCCATGCCACGAAGCTTCACAAAACACTTCATTCCGTCCTTCCTTCCTACCTACCCATCGACTGACCAACTTACATACATTACCTACCCACATACCCACCTACGTCATGATCAAAGGAGTCAAAAGGAGCTTCGTCTCACAAGTCACATGAAACAGGTACTTCAAAGAAGCTGGGGTCGAACCAAGCCATTTTGCAGATGGGGCCGAGTTTCTTGCCAGCATTCACACCACCGCCAGCTGCCAGCGTGTTGTCTGAAGTTGGAAAGTGTGCAACGTCAGTTGTTCAGTTGTTCTATACAGCACCTGTACAGTGTAGTCGTAGTTCATTGTCAAGTCAAAATCAAGTGAAGGAAGCATGAAAGATAGATTAAGTTATAGACCATGAATTATATAGGTTATTATAGGTTAGGTTACGGTTAGATTATGATTCACATGTGGAAGACAGAACCAGTTTGGCAAGTGACATGCATGATGGTCATGGGAAAAATGACTCCCTAGGCCTGGGCCACCTAAACCCTAGTGCATGTGGTGACCATTTGCAATTTGCATGCTGCGGATCTGTGCAGGCTGAATGTGTTTGGAGCGTGTGAAGGATTGGGTACAACTGCATACATTTTGCGTCTTGGCTGAAGTGGAGTCACAAATCATTCAATGAGTCAATGACTCACTGACTTTCTGTGAAGAGATTGTCAAATCAGAAGGTCAGAAGGTCAGATTTTTGCAAAGCTTTGGTAGCACAATATAGGGCCTGTTTGCGGACGGTGTCGAAGTGTCATGCCAGGCAACTCCAGACTCTAGTGTCTAGTCTAGTCTACAGTCTACTGAGACTACTATGTTGTACTTTCGAGATGTAGGGATCTTTGGGGTCTTGATTCCACAAGTGTTACTCACCCTTGACTCTTGTCATCCCAAACTCAGGCGACACATCAGCAGCTACACCGGCGTTGATGTGCATTTCAAGTACTCCTCAGAGATTTCCTGCAAAGCGCGCAATGTGTGCCTACTAAATGGAGACTGATCCCTGGCAGACTGACGTGTTGTGAAGGTCCAGATCCTAATAGTACTATAGACTGATAGATAGATTGATAGACTAGACTAGACCGGACTGACTAGACGAGTGCTGTCTGGTAGCGGTTGGGAGTCCCACCCATCCCAAAGCCCCTGGATTTTGAATTGGTTGTTCAATTGTTGGCAGTGGCAGCACTCGCTATTGTCATATATGGCTGGGTCCAAGCCGTTTACAAAGACCGACCAGGTAGTACAAGAACCATGTCCGACCTGTTTACGATATTACTTCTAATTTGTTGTTGTCGTTGCAGTCATTGGACCTTGGAGACTGATCATTGTAAAGGGTGAGTTTGCAAGGTGCAGCATCATAATCATCGTCATCGTCATCGTCATCATCATCCGGAATGATCCGTCATCACTTGACTCGTCAATCTCCGACTCTGTGCATGGACCATATTCCGGCCTTTTTTCTGAACCAGTTCTCAGGGGATCATTTCTTCCGGGACGTGGACGACCATGGAGAGCAATATTGCTACCAGTGCGATAAAGAGCATGCAGTGGTGGAGGCGCCCGTGCTTTGGCAAAAAAGTTTTTTACATGAAAAATCCAGGAATAGTAATAGAACTTAACTAAGATAAGAAATATTGGATTGGATGTTTTTTGCCTTGGGCTAGTAGACTGCAGACTAGATAAATGATGGCAACAGTGGTAGTGCCCTTGACAAAGTGATGGTGAGTGAATGGGGTCGGGGGATGGCACTTCTTTTTCACATTCTGGTCTCCCATTTGGTTCAGTCCTGTCGCACGCTCAAAGATTTGCAGACTCAAACCCCAAGCCGCAAACATGCGTAGACAAATAGATAGATAGATTAGATTAGATTAGATTAGATAGATAGATAGATAAGATAGATAGTATAGACAGTATAGATAATCGGATAATCGCTATATATATATATATGTATTCTTATATACGGTCCGAATACTTACTCACAACTGAGAACTGAATCAAGCAATTTGTTTGGCTCTGGGGTGCATCCCACTGCTAAGGATGAAGAAATGGATATGGGCATTGTTGGCATACCTTGCCCTCTCTTTTCTGCTTTGAACCCACACAACAAGTCAAGAAGATCAAGGGGAGCCTCAGAGATATACAATCCCTTCGAGAAGAAGCTTGGCAGGGGATTGTATTTCAAGAGATAAGAAAATGAATGAAACATTGGACTGGACATTGAGAGTCATAGAGTCACAGAGCTCTAACTTGGTCAGGGTCAGAGTCTGTCAGAGTCATTGCCTGAGCTGCAAGACCTACTACAGTTAAGGTGTCACCTCCGATACATTTTAAAAACATCATTTGCAATGACTCAATCTTTATCAGCTGGGGGATCGGGGCAGGCCTTTGCTTCGAGGTTGAAAATAGAAATGTAGTGCCAGTGCTGCAATGAGGAATCGTCAAAAATCGCCAAAAACCTTCTGTTGGGTGGTGTTCCAGTCGCACATTGTTCATGAAACAACCTCCTGTCACCTGTCGACTTATGGCACATGTGACTGCACGTCGTGAGTCATGTGAGTAACGTCCGTTAGATTAGGTTTTAGGTTGGCTTGTATGTTGTGTATTTATGTGCCACGCCACGTCTCCACCAGCTCAGGAAAGGATCTTCAGTTGTCAGGAGCTGCTTGAAGAGAATCCGTTCACAGAATCCCAAGACCTTCGTGGTCGAGGAAGAACTTTGGCTGCAATGTGGCTGGGACGTGCGACATGTGAGTCCTTTGAACGGTCAAAGTCTGAGTCTTTGCATATGAGGCTTGAGTTTGCTACTACTGTTTGTGGCTGCCTGCATTTGCAGTTCAAATACTAAATTACCGTGTTCATATGATTATGATTATGCCATTACCAGTTGTCATCAGTGATGAAATACCAGTGACCAGTGGATATTGATATTGTTTTTGCTGACCCTTGTTTGCAGCACAACGCTAGACTAGACTAGACTAGACTAGGCTGCCGGCTGTCATTTTTTGAAAGCAAAGCCTGCTTTGCTGCTTCTAGTCTGGAAGACTATTTTGGCAAAAATTGCTGTGGATTTGTAGATGGTAGACGTTGTAGGCGGCTGTAGGCTGCGTGTAGACTGTAGACTGTAGAGCTTTGGCAGCTTTGGTAGAAGAAGAACATTACATCACATCAGAATCATGGGGATCACTGGATCACCAGCCATCGCAGCGACATGCACTGTGCAGGTATGTGGCATCTTGAAAGACTTCGACCCTTTATTTGAGGGAGACTATGCAGCCTACAAGGCCAGGCGGCCCAGGAGATTTGTTTTTCACAGCCAGGCCAAACGAGCAAAACAGGAACTCATGAACTCAAATGAGCCGGACTTCACATGACATTTTCGGAGACCGTACTTCTTACAGGTTTCAGATCATGGTTCATAGTACAGTAACAGCAATGCAATAGGTAACAGGTAACAGATCCAGCCTTATCAGCCTCATCCTACCGAAGCCATTTAAATTCCAGGACCTTGCCACACAGATTGATGGCTCGTTCAAAAAACGGGTAACAATAGCAGGGAGGAAACCTCAGTCAGCGTTCAGCAAAATCAGCAAGCTCAAACAGTAAACAGCAAACAAACCAAATAGTAATAATAGTAATAGAATAATAGAATTCAGGATTATGTTATGTTTGTGTTTGCAGCTCACAATTGAGCAATATGACATAACTATAACTGCAGACTGCGCAGACTATAATCATTTTTAACATTTTATTCTATATTGTCATTGTCTATAATATACTGTCTTGCGTCGGTATCATGTTCAGAACCTGAATCAGGAAGCTTTCCAAAAGACTGAGACGTAAGTCAAGTTGTACTGTATGTAACTATAAGTAAATAAAACCGGGACTTGGACTGGCCATACTGTTACTGTAGTACTACTACCGGTTTCTTTTGCATTTACAGCACCTTGCCTCTTGCCCAGTGATGTCATTGATTTCGAGCAGCCCGGGCAGCTGCTGTTCGAAATCAGTTCAAGACTCTGAAGAAGAAGACGTCTTCAGTGACCTTAGCAAACCTTCGGAGTCAGAGAGTGGCACTGGCAGTGACAATGACTCAACTCACCCAGACTCAGATCATGATTCCTCAAGTCGAAGCCGCAACGGCTCTGACTCAGACTCTGGGTCCAGCATGTCCATTGTGGCCGAGCGTGAAAGGTTGAAGAGGCAAAGAAGGACGGCTAAGGCCCGTCAAGCAGCTTTGGCAAACAAAGCTCAGCGGAAGCTGGCGCAGCAGGCTGTCTTGAAGGTTCCCAGCCACCCAGCCGAGGATTACCGCCCCCTGATCAAGGCCAATAGCCGGTTGAATGATACAGGAACAACCACGACTCAACGATTTCAGCGTTTGAGACTCCTGGTCAGCTATCTGAAGACCTGGGCAGTCACATTGGCAAATTTCTTGACAGGACAGAGCGAAGACGGCCGGAAACCTGATGTCAGCCACATTCTTGTGACGTCAATCATAGATGACACCAATATGAAGCTGGCGAGCCAAGTGCCCGGGGCTCCAGAACAGAAGAAGTCCAGAACAGTCACAGCAATGAATCACGTCACGTCCAGCAAATTTACTTGAACTTCAATTATGGCCCTGGCCCTGACGATGCAAGTGAAAGGCAAAGCCAGAGCCAGTGCAAACACTTCACGGTCCATACACCGTTGGTTTGCTTGCCGAAAGCAGATACAACCAACCTTACAGTGCAGTTCTTGACCCGCCTTGTGACATTTTTGGGAGCGATCCCACGTCGGTTTCAACAGTTCTCTCTCACGGCAGATCTAGTGAAGGATGTGGCCATCAGTACAGTATGCTGCTGTTTCGACAGCCTCGTTACAAACATCTCAATGCTCAAAAGGATCCGGGTTGCTGTACATGCCAAGCATACAGCCGAAGGCTTTGAGAAAATATACTCCTTTTTGGGGGGTGCAGTGTCAAATCCATCAACTTGCCCTCATGCGGAAACCAGTTTTATCTGGCTTCGGAACTTTTGGAGTTCGCTCGTTCAACTCCTTGGACTCGATCACATTCTCATTCCTCAGGCTCGACACAAACTCAAGTGTTGCGCTTCTGATGCAAAGGGGTGTGATGACACTCTTGCATGACACTCTTGGGCAGGGACCAAGAATTCAAAGATTGTGAATGTGAAGTTGAATGAATGATGAATGTGATACTGTAGGTGCCATGAGTGTGATGATTGTGAATGTGATGAATTTGAATGAAATGATTTTGAAATTAGAGACAGTAACACTATGTTATTTTCAGTGTGTTTGTATAGACTGCCAGCCAATCATACATGTGGTGGGAGGTGGGGGTGGGGGTGTTTGTATAAACTGCCAGCCAATCATACATGTGGTGGGAGGGTGGGTGGGAGCAGCAAATCTGCAACCCAGTTAGCATGAATTTTAGCATGAATTAAGACCCAGATGCCACGAATGTTACATTGATCTTGATCGGCAATCCATCTGGCATAGTGAAGGACACTCTCTAGGGCCGTCCGGCCTTCGCCCGCCCGGAAGGGGTTTTGCCACTGTGTCAACGACCAACGATGTGAGAAATGGCCTGGTCCAATGTACACGTCCTCGTCCGTGAGGCGCGACCGCATCTGCAACACATCAACTGCAACCTGACGTGTGGGGACGTGGGACGAGTCCTCCAAGGGCGGGGAAAGGCCCAGGTGAAAGCCCATGACATTCATCAAATCTTCACGCAACTCCGAGGGCTCAAAGTGGAGAAGAGGGCGTACATCGCCTGATGTTGTGATGGGCGGCAACCTCGGAATGGGCAAAATGCCGCCCACTTATATGAAATCCACAGTTTCCGAAGCCAGTTCCAAGCAGCACTCCTTCAAGTGGTGGCAGAGTCTTTTTCTTACATACCCGTGGCTGGAATGCCCCAGGAAGCATCGACATGGATGCAGCGCCGTCGAGAGGTGCTTAAGCTTGGTCCATCTGCAGATACACTCGAGCAGAATTATCAGGTCACAAGGTACAGGCTCCACATGCAACTTATGGAATACGCCAACGGCAACACTGAGAGTGCAACAATATGTCACTGGTGCCTGGGGCCATGTTGCAAGGGGGAGAATCACGCACAGAAATCTCGACACGCCCTTCTGCAAGTCAGTCGTTGCCTGATCCTCTTGTTTGGGAACGGATTCCCGTTCCCCTGCTGTACCGATGGCTCCATGCCAGTCGGGCTCTACAATTCTGTCGAGTTACTTGGCTTCCCATGGAAAGGTTTTCAGTGCTGAGTGCTGACTTGAAAGGCCCTGAAAGCCTTGGAAGGCTAATCGGATTTGATTTGAGTTGTGATTTACTGTAAAAATTAAATATACAGTATACAGTCATACAGTATATATACGTTTTTTATACAGTATACATCGTTGCTGCCCCTCCCCACTCCCCACCGACACTGATGCTTGATGTTTTAAGTTTGATTCATGATATGATACTCTGATACTGATACTCTCTTTTTTGTGTCTAGACTCTAGACTCAAAATGGTCGGTCGGACTGACTATCTAGACAATTAGGAATTCTGACCCAAATCATCGTTTTTGACAACAGTGCAGCACAGTGCGCTGCACCGTTGAATAGCTGTACTGTGTACTACAAACTGCAGACTACAGCCTTACTTTGGCAAATTCCACAAGCAGCTCAGGAAGCATGCTCCTTTTTCAACCTTCTGCCACGGTACTGGCCAAGATGTCAGGCCAGGAGGGCAGCTCTGCAGACGGTGAACGACGCCTTTCAGAGATGCAGTTGCTCCTCCAAGACGAAGGGGTTGACTTGGAGGTGGATGGCCCACGAGACCATGATCCAGGATGGCGGGAGTTGATAGAAGAATTGATGAACTTCAAAGAGCTTTCCCATGCGGAGATAAATCGTAAAAGGAAGCGGCGAACGTTTGCTGCTTTCCAAGATGCCAACATCGATGCCAAGATCACTGCCACTGAAGCGCTGGTTAGTCCGAACATGAGAAAAATTGGCACGCTCTTGTCAAGGACCCATGCTATTGCGACAATTCCACGTCTCCCCCGCATGGCCAAGGCTGAGCGCGCAGATCTTGAGTCCAAGTCATGTGGCAAATGTTGCAGCAATTTTTTTGGAAGGCTGGATCACATTGGGACGGGATGAATGAAGGTAAGGTTGTGGTAATGGCCCTAGTGGCAATGGTTGACAAACACTGAGTGATATGATTTGATTTGATTCGATATGTAAACGTTACATGATAGACAATGATAGATAAGATATGATGATAAATGATATATGATATATGATGATGATTGTTAATATAACTTAGTTGATGCAACTTAGATCAACTTAGTTTAATTCATCAATTCAAGGTTTGCAGGAAGCAGGGACTTGAATGTTCTTTTGTCATTTCACTCCGACCGCTGATTTGATTTACTTTCTTGACTTTTCTTCCTCGGATTGATAGCATTTCTAGAATAGAAGAAAGTTAAAGTAAATCAGTTGGCTAAAGTTAGTCGTCTAGACAGTCAGGCTTGTTGTCATTGTTGTTCGTTTAAGGCCCTTATGATGCCCTTGTGGTCTTCCCTTGTTTCATGAATGAAGGCCTCCATTGTGGTATAGCCCAAATTTGGTTCCGAATGAACAAAGGTCATGTGAAGTGTTCATTGCGTTTGTCACTGGCAAGTTTGGTGCAAACCTGATCTTGGACTACATGGGAAAGGTCAAAGAATTCCCATCTCTGAAGATTCCAAACGTGGCTGCAACTTTTTTTACATTGGCCTTACAGGCCATGGGCGATGCATTTCGACGATTTTCTTTACCTATGAGATCGTTCCCATGGATTGCGTTTGGTCTTCACGGTTTGGACCATGACAATTTTGTCCAGGAGTATGACCGTTTGCGAAAAATGGCCCAGGAGTGCAAGTCATGTGCAGACCTAGAGTTCAGCCATATCATTTTGGCCTTCTTGCCAGAAGAGAATGAACGTGATGATGGCCGACTTCTGCGAGAAGGTCATAAAGCTGCAGAAGCTTTTAAATGACATGGCAATCTTTTGTCCACTGAGCTCTGACTTGGTGGAATGCCTGCACGGCTTCAGCCAAAACTTATTACACCGCTGGCGGGGCACGAAGCCTTCAGACCCTGTCGCAGCTGAGCGATTGTTGTTTGCACTGGTGACCAGGTCCTTCGGCCGTTTTCGTGCCTGGTTGTGGGACAGGATCGGAGACGCTGAGGTTGGCAAGCGGCAGTTTCACTATGGACGTGCAAGCTCAAACCAGT